CCCAACCACGAAGGGTCTCGAAACTACCCTTCACTAGGGCCTACACCAAGTGAAATGTTACACTACACAAAGTAATGTAACTATCTTCAATATCTTGGGGTGTACCCTTTTTTCGCGGGCTTCGCGATTACTTGAATGTTGACACCAGGGCTCGGGTTCTTCATCACAAACTCATCCTTGAGTTCTTGATGGGTCTGTTGCACACACCTGCGACACGTCGAACGTTCGACAAGCGACAAAATAGAAACCGCGCACGACAAAATAGAAACCACGAGGGACACACAAAACGACCATGTTACACGCGACTAGCGATAATTCGCTATTGACTTGACACACACACTTGACATCATGACCCATCATTCACACTATATTATAAGCATGAAATATATATTTATTTCTGTAAAGATAAGAACAAGAATGAGGTAACGGTATAAGCCATAGCTAGGATCAACCTAGCTAGGCAAGGAAGAAGTTAGGTAAAAGAGGGTGAGTGTTTGCAAGCAAGGGGATACATATATGAAACCCTAAGGGGTTATACTCGCTATAGAGTACCCCACTGCAGGCTAGATAACAAATATAACATTCTGACACACCCCCATAGCCAAAGTGGGGTGTAATCAGCAGAGCAAGCAAAACAGAACACGCTCAGGGTGGATCACAATGTCACCACACAGTCTGAGCACAAGTTCAAGCAGCAGTAGTATAAAGTTCACAGTTATAAGCAAAGCTAGAGGTAGTCACAACGGGCAAGTGAGGCGGAGGAGAGAGAGAGTGAGAGGAAAGGAGATAGGAGGCGACGGATGAAGCTGCAGACACACGGGCAATAGGAGGCAGACTGGCACAGCGGCTACCGGACGAAGCCCCCGGACTACAGGGGTAACTGGCCCCGCGGCTAAAGTAGCGGCAGACGAGCAACGGACCCATGGGCGGCGTACCGGCGCCTAAGGGTGGCGCGACGGCGGCGTGGGGCCTGACGGGCAGCGCGCGGGCGTCTAGGGGGCCGAGACGGGCGGGGCGCGGGCTCTAAAGGCAGCGCGCGGGCGGCGTGGGGCCTGGACGGGCGGCGCGCGGGCGTCTAGAGGCCGGGACGAGCGGCGCGCGAGCGTCTCAGGGCAGCGCGCGGGCGTCTAGGGGCCGGGACGGGCGTCGCGCGGGCGTCTAGGGGCCGTTAGGGCAGATCGAAAAAGTAAGAGAGAGGGCCCGGAGCGCGCTCCGGGCAGAAAAAAAAAAGTTCGATGTGGTGGGCCCTAAGCACAGTTCCCACGGGGGAACCTGCTCGATGCCATGAGAAAATTAGAACGAGAATGGTCTAGTGGTTGGGATTCTGACATGGTATCAGAGCGAAGGTCTCGGGTTTGAATCCCGGTGTGTGCACTTCGGGCATCCCAGTGCGGGGGGGTGTCAGAAGTCCACTGGTGATCCCCGATTGATCCTAGGGAAGGGTTACAGGCACATCAGCCTGGGGGGTTATGGGCGCACTCACCCGCTATACAAACAAGCCCTTTTATCCCAGTGGTCTAGTGGCTAGGATTCTGAGAATTTCATGCACTCATTCCATTCCATGCACACACGCATGCACGCACACGGACAACAAGCCGAGTGCAAACTGTAGGGTTGCACCAACACTCCCTTTCCTTCTCCACCTCCCTTCTCCTTCATTTATGTCTTTCTTTCCATTTTTATACTCAAAAATATATATTAACAATGAAAAAAAAATATGTTTCAAGATTGATAAATGAGAAAACCAAGCAGGCTTTGCCTGTACAGCACGCCAAGCCATCCACTAGTGACGCATTTCAACCCCTGGAAAAATGAGATAAAAGGCACCTGAGAGTTTGTCAAGCCCATGGGTGTCGATGGTATCTGACACAGCTCGAGCTTCGGATCCCTCGGCCTGGCCCCCCTGAAGCTTCCCAGCAAAATTCTGGCGTTCGCTGTCCCTCCGTGTAACTGACCAGCGCTAGCGCACATAGCCCTTCATTCACTGCTTGCGGATGCTTTTTTAGGGAGTACTAGCCCTCTCGACTACCAATAAAGCACTTGCCTTACTGAAGATGATATGCTTCGTGTCTCTTGATTTTGAGCCTCTCCATTCTCTTTTGTAAGGACACTTTCGTAGTTTTCGTCCTCACAGGCAATTAACCCCAGAATTACTTTGCTCCTGCCACTAGTGGCCATCATGGCGCGCACGTCGCTGCGACCTGCGTTCGTCCTCGCGGGTGAGTTCCTGATGCTTGACTCACAGTGATTCGTCATCGCTGGTTACTGCGATACTGACGCACGACCGCCTGTTGCTGGTCACTCTTGTCATTCTTATCGAAGTGTCACTATAGGTCGACTGATGCTTCATGCTAAACCTGCTTGGCCACTCTGCGATTTTTCGGAACAAAATAAATGTATTGTTCCCTGTTTGTCGAGGATTTAGGACCAACATCGTTCAGCGATAAAGCAATCATCCTGAGGCCGGTGCGAAATTCCGACTAACTAGATCTGACTAGATCCGTTAAGTCCTCAAATCTGACACAACGCAATCATCCTGGAGGCAAATTTTGCGAAATCTCGACTACCAGATCTGACTCTCAGTGAAGTTCTCAAAATCTAACCCCGGACAACCATAATTCTTCTGGCCCCGTCTTTTCTTCCGTGCAGTGCTGGTGTCTCTTGCCTGCGGTGCCATCGCTGGTCGCCATCGCGGCCCTCCAACACACGCTGTACGACGGCGCATCATTACTCATGCCTCCAACCCGCATGCTCTCTCTCTCTCTCAAGCAGTCCTTCATTGATTTGGCATATAACGAACAGGCATGATGAGGTATAGCTCTAAATATTGGTCATCCTATGCATGTGAGCGAGGGATGAGTGGCAAGCAAGCAAGGTCGGGTAAGCATGCATGCAAGTATGGCCGCCTGCCTTGGGAACACGCCGGGAACCTAAATTGCCACAACCGGATCTCACTCCCCTGTCTCCCTCACCTCCTGGTCACCACTGCCGCTAGCCCCTGTCACTCCTCCTCCCGTCAATCCGCTGGTCTGCCCCTAGCTATCCCTCGTAGCCCCTTAGCCGCCTGCACCGTCCTCCAGCACCTGCCACATATCCCCCAACCTTGGCTCCCACGGGTCCGTGGGTGCTTGTGGGGAGGAGGCCTCTGCTGCCCGGTTTGACTTCGTGAGTAGGCTCGTTGCCTGGCATCGCTGCAGCATAACCGAGAAGCGTTGGCGAAAGTGGGCATTGAGACGCGCCGCTAGCGTCGTCTGTGGGCCGTGGCGGAAGCCCCTTTTGGCCGCATTGGTGGCCAACATCCGGAAGAATCTGACGGTATCTGCCGCCAACGCGCCGTATGTCTCCACCGCCAATCCTAGGAACCCCACGCACGACGGCCTTTCCTCGTAAAGTTTATGCTTGCCGATGTTGGCCTCTTCGGCCGCCCACACTGGTGCCCTAGTAGCCCCGAGGTCACGCCTCTGAAGTACCGGGTCTGTCACGGTCACATCAGTTACCCATGTCTCCGATGTCTCCGATGTCTCTGGGTCTTGAACCGCCACATCTGCCCTTTTCCTATCCACAGGAGGGGAGTACACTGTTGTCTCATGCAGGGTCATGTACTTAGCTTCCTTTGCCATGCGCAGGCACGCATAGACCAGGGCATTGTGTGTCCTCGTCCGGTCCCCACCCTCGCCGCATCGCAGCAGGTGATTGGGTAGGCTTTTGTCGGCAGTGGCAGACCGTTCTCGGTTGCACGGGCATTGGTCTGTGACGGGCAGGGGAAGGCCTAAGCGCAGTCCTAGCGCCAATGAGAATTGCCCCGGCGCCAGCGTGAGGTCCGCCCGGGTCGGTATTGCATTCAGCCAGTCACCCGCCCCTGTGCCGTGTAGGCTCAACAGTCGTAGCGGGTGGCCATTATCTGGTCCAGGTCTGTCAATTCTCGTGTCCGCTACCAGCTCGGCCGCTCTCTCTCTCTCTCTCTCTCTCTCTCTCTCTCTCTCTCTCTCTCTCTCTCTCTCTCTCTCTATCTTTCTCTCTCTCTCTCTCCCTCTCTCTCTCTCCCTCTCTCCCTCTCTCTCTCTTTCTCTCCACACCGCACATGTATCCAGATTTATTCCAAGAGTGCCCTCCGACGATGCCATTCCTACAGGATGCTGTGAAAGTTTAGAAGAAAGAAGAAGATTGCACTAGCAAGAATGGGGATACAAATAGCAAACCCTAGAAGGGTTGTACTCGCTATAGAGCACCCCACTATAGGCTAAAGCATAAGCTAACATTCTGACACACCCCCATAGCCAAAGTGGGGTGTAATCAGCAGAGCAAGCAAAGCAGTACAAGCTCAGGGTGGATCACAATGTCACCACACATTCTGAGCACAAGTTCAAGAAGCAATAGTTTAAAGTTAACAATTATGAGCAAAGCTAGTGGTAGTCACAACGGGCAAGTGAGGAGGAGGAGAGAGAGTGAGAGGAGAGGAGATAGGAGGCGACGGCTGAAGCTGCAGACACACGGGCAACTAACTGGCCCCGCGGCTAAAAGTAGTGGCAGACGAGCAACGGACCCACGGGCGGCTGGCACAGCTGGCTACGACTGGGCTACCGGACGAAGTCCCCGGAATACAGGTGCTGCTGGCGACACGACGGCAACCTCCATTCAGCTTCCCCAAAGTATCCCACCCCCCCTGACACACACCCGCTGCTACACCGCTAGGGTCACTCACACCCCACCCCCTAGCACGACTCCGTCGACTCCCACACACCCACCCCCCTCAACGGCAGCTGCAGCAGTGGGAGACAGAGGAGGAGGAGGAGCAGGGGAGACCACACACCCGCCACCCCCTACTCGCCACCCCCAAACCCGAACACAGGGCAGGGCGGGATGGCGGGTAGGGAGGTTACGGGGGGGGGGGGAGGCGGACGCGCGGCCTCCCTGGGCGCCATAGTAGGCGGCAGAAGGGGCGACGCTCGCCCCCACCCCCACGTCGCCCCTCCCGTCGCCCCTCCCGTCGCGCGGCCCCCTCAGGTCGCCTCGACAGGCGACGGGAAAAGGAGGGGGGGGTGGGGGGCGGTGCACGTGCCCCCGGTGCGCCGCGGCTGACGACGATGCATGGCCGGGGCGGGGCCGGGGCCGCAAGTGGCGGCAACGGGGCCGCTGGCGGCGACGACGGAGCCGATGCGGGCGGGGACGGGGTTGTTGCGGGCGGCGACAAGGCCGCGCGCGCGGCGACAGGTCCGATGCGGGCGGCGACGGGGTCGCTGCGGGCGGCGACGGGGCCGCTGCGCGCGGCGACGGGGCCGCTGTGGGCGGCAACGGGGCCAATGCGGGCGGCGACGGGGTCGTTGCGGGCGGCGACAGGGCCGCTGCGCGCGGCGACGGGGCCGCTGCGGGGGGCAACGGGGCCGATGCGGGCGGCGACGGGGCCGCTGCGCGCGGCGACGGGGCCGCTGCGGGCGGCAACGGGGCCGATGCGGGCGGCGACGGGGTCGCTGCGGGCGGCGACGGGGCCACTGCGCGCGGTGACGGGGCCGCTGCGGGCGGCAACGGGGCCGATGCGGGCGGCGACGGGGTCGCTGCGGGCGGCGACGGGGCCGCTGCGCGCGGCGATGGGGCCGCTGCGGGCGGCAACGAGCCCGCTGCAGGCGGCAACGGGGCCGATGCGGGCGGCGACGGGGCCGACGCGCGGGTCCCCGTCGCCCGTCGCATCGCCTCCCGAGGGCGACGCGCCGAGTGACGGGGCAGAAGCCCGCCGCGCGCCTCGGGGCGCACAGCAGGCAGAGAACCGCCGCGCGCCTCGGGGCGCACGGCGGGAAGAAAAAACTGCCGCACGCCACGGGGCGTGCGGCACAGCGAGTAGCAGTGGCAGTTGCAGCGGAAGCAACGAGGTGGTGAGCCCACCCACAGGATCGATCCAAGAGGATCGACCTGCTCTGATAGCATGTGAAAGTTTAGAAGAAAGAAGAGGATTGCACTAGCAAGAATGGGGATACAAATAGCAAACCCTAGAAGGGTTGTACTCGCTATAGAGCACCCCACTACAGGCTAAAGCATAAGATAACATTCTGACAGATGCTCATGCTTATCTATAAGACGATGACGATGACGCCTTGTATGCTGCATACCGGGTGGAAAAGCCAGCTCCGGGCCGTGACGATCGTCATGGCGTATGCATGAATGAACTAGCAAAGGAATTGATTATGCTTCTGTGTGGCATTTAGCTGAGGCCGTACTTATGTAAATACATCATACTGCTGAGAGGCTAAGGCCTTAGATGATGTCAAGTTTATTCCCTATTTCAATAAAGGATGTACGTTGGGCTAAACGTTTCAACTCAAGAAGTCACAGAAGGAATACTCGTAGGGATAGCTTGAGAGGTGGGTTGGTGGAATTGTGTTAAGCTTTGAGGAAGGCCATTGAAAGAACCAAGCAAGTATGGGAAGAATAGTTACCATGTTAAAGAAAGCTACCAGTGCATTGTTGGACATATTTTCAAATGTTTGGGGTGAGGATTGTGTTTGGCAAAGTTTCTTGCATTGTTGTGGAGGCACGTGTGCTCTCCACAGCAAATGAACTCCCACATCCTTATGTGATGTCAAGTTTATTTCCTATTCCAATAAAGGATGTACATTGGAGTTTAACGCTTCAACTCAAGAAGGCACAGAAGGGATACTCGTAGGGATAGCTTGAGAAGTGGGTTGGTGGAATGGTGTTAAGCTTTGAGGAAGGCCATTGAAAGAACCAAGCAAGTATGGGAAGAATAGTTTCCATGTTTAAGAAAGTTACCAATGCATTGCTCGACATATTTTCAAACGTTTGGGGTGAGGATTGTGTTTGGCAAAGTTTCTTGCATTGTTGTGGAGGCCCGTGTGCTCTCCACAGCAAGTGAACTCCCACATCCTTATATGATGGCAAGTTTATTTCCTATTCCAATAAAGGATGTACATTGAGCTTAACGCTTCAACTCAAGAAGGCACTGAAGGGATACTCGTAGGGATAGCTTGAGAAGTGGGTTGGTGGAATGGTATTAAGTTTTGAGGAAGGCCATTGAAACAACCAAGCGAGTATGGGAAGAATAGTTTCCATGTTTAAGTAAGTTACCAATGCATTGCTCGACATATTTTGGGGTGAGGATTGTTTTAGGCACAGTTTCTTGCATTATTGTGGAGGCCCATGTGCTCTCCACAGCAAGTGAACTCCCACATCCTTAGATGATGTCAAGTATATTTCCTATTCCAATAAAGGATGTACGTTGAGCTTAACGTTTCAACTCAAGAAGGCACAGAAGGGATACTCGTAGGGATAGCTTGAAAATTTGGGTTGGTGGAATGGTGTTAAGCTTTGAGGAAGGTCATTGAAAGAACCAAGCAAGAATAGGAAGAATATTATCCATGTTTAAGAAAGTTACCAGTGCATTGCTGTGTCAAACATTATATATGTTATGCTTGTGTAGGCTACAGTGGGTTAGCCTATAGGGGGTACACAATTCTAGGGTTTCCTACTTGTACTCATTTCACTGCTAGTTCATTCATTCCTGTTCGCTTATTCTCACATGGTATAGAGCGGGTCCTTCTACGGACCGTTTTTTTGGGCCCACCGAAGCGCCCCCCGAGGCGCGATCTTTTTTTTTTAGCGACCCCTCGGGTCGCCATTTCCCTTGCGGCCCCGCCGCCTTCACTGACGCGGCCCCGCCGCCCTCTCTGTCGCGGCCCCGCCGCCTGCTCTCACGCGGCCCCGCCCCGGCTCCTTCGCGGCCCCGCCGCCTGCTCTCGCGCGGCCCCGCCCCAACTTCTACGCGGCCCCGCCCCGGCTTTCACGCGGCCCCGCCGACGGCTTTGTCGCGGCCCCGCCCAGGCCCTTATGCGGCTCCGCCGCCTGCTCTCACACGGCCCCGCCCCGGCTCCTTCGCGGCCCCGCCGCCTGCTCTCGCGCGGCCCCGCCCCGGCTTCTACGCGGCCCCGCCCCGGCTTTCACGCGGCCCCGCCGACGGCTTTGTCGCGGCCCCGCCCAGGCCCTTACGCGGCTCCGCCGCCTGCTCTCACGCGGCCCCGCCCCGGCTCCTTCGCGGCCCCGCCGCCTGCTCTCGCGCGGCCCCGCCCCGGCTTCTACGCGGCCCCGCCCCGGCTTTCACGCGGCCCCGCCGACGGCTCTGTCGCGGCCCCGCCCAGGCCCTTACGCGGCCCCGCCGCCTGCCCCCGTCGCGGCCCGGTCACCTCCTGACGGCCCCGCCGTCCCTTCGTGACGGCCCCGCCGTCCCTTCCTGACGGCCCCGCCGTCCCCTCCTGACGGCTCCTGCCGTCCCCTTCTACCGGCCCCGCAACTGCACCTGCTGGCCCCGCCGCTGCACCTACCGGCCCCCCACCACCCACCCCCCCTTTTCCCGTCGCCTGTCGAGGCGACCTGAGAGGCCAGCAGAGGGGTGGCAGGTGTGTGGCCTCCCCTGCTTCTCCTCCTCCTTCATCTCCCACTGCAGCAGCCGAGCCGCCCCACAGCCGAGCCGCCCTGCCGCCGAGCCGCCGGGTCACTGAGCTGCTGAGCTGCAGTTGCTGCCGAGCCGCCCTGCCGCCGAGCCGCCGAGTCACCGAGCTACTGAGCTGCAGTTGCTGCTGAGTCGCCTTGCCGCCGAGCCGCCCGAGTCGCCCGAGCCGCCGAGCCGCCGAGCTGCCGAGCCGCTGAGTCGCCGAGCCTACTCTTCCCACCACTGGTGAGCTCTTGCCCTGCTAGCACGCTGCGCGTCGCCTGCTTGCCTGCCTGCCTGCCTTTTGGCTTGCCTGGCTGCCTGCCTCCCTGCTGCTAGTCCTGCTCCTGCTTCTACTTGCGGAGCCAAATGCAGCCCCAGCGACGCCGGCGTGAGTCCCTCACGCCGCAGCAGCTGCGTGAGTGGTACGCTGGTTGGGGCTGTAGGGGTGGCGACGCTACTCCTACTACCACTCCTGCTGCTTCTACTCGTGGTGGCGGCCAGATGCAGCTCCCGCGACCCTCTCGCGTGTCTCTCACGCCTCGCCAGCTTCGTGAGTGGTACGCTCAGAGTGGAGGGTCTCTCAGTGCTGTTCGCTGCTCTTACGTGATTCGCACTGGTACTCGGACTGGTCAGCCTTGTGGGACACGTAGTCATACACCGTCCCGCTGCTTCGCCCGTCTGAGCGACGCCTGGCGTACCGTGTTTGGCGACGAGGCTGAGCTTCCCGACTAGGTGGAGTTGCTTAGGCAGAGGGTAGATATATATGCTCTTGACTATGATGCTATTCTCACTGCCATGTATGCATTGCCTACTAGTGCTGACCGTGCAGGTCACCTGTGCGTCCCGCCTGACCCAGGTATAGGACCTGCTGCTCTAGCTACTGGTGAGGCTGCTGCTCTGGGTGCTAGTGAGTCTCCTGCTCCAGGTACAGGTGCGGCTGCTGCTCTAGGTGCTAGTGAGTCTACTTCCTCAGGTGCGGGTGAGGCTGCGCTCTCAGGTACCGCGTTGGCTTCGGCCTCCCTCACCTTTACACTTGACTCTGGGGCTTCTCGCTCCTTCTTTCGAGACCGCACCACACTCACGCCGCTTGGTCGGCCGGTTGCAGTCTCCCTGGCTGACCCCTCTGGGGGTCCTGTCCTCGCTCACTTCTCCACTGTCCTCCCGTGTCCGGCTGCCCCCTCGGGCACCCTGTCTGGCCTGTACCTCCCCTCGTTCTCGACGAACTTGGTGAGTGGTGCAGACCTACAGGATGCGGGGGTTCACCAGTTCACTCCTGCGAGTCAGCGGGTGACCCACTGCATGGACGCACGCACAGGCCGGCACCTGGCCACGTTCTCGCGTCGGCCGGGGTCGAGCCTCTACACCCTGACCACTGAGTCTCCTCCTGTCCCCGCGTCCGGTCAGGTAGCAGCGTCGGGTCAGGTGTTTGCTGCTGCGTCCAGGTCTGGTCCTGAGTCTGCCCCCTGTACTTGTCGCCTCCTGTCTCACGAGACTCTCCTATGGCACCACCGTCTTGGCCACCCCTCCTTGCCCCGTCTTCGGAGCATGGCTTCCCGTGTCCTTGTCTCTGGTCTTCCCCAGTCTCTCCCTCCTCTCCCCTCCGGGCCAGGACCTTCCTGTGTCCCCTGTGTCGAGGGTCGCCTCCGGGCTACTCCTCACTCCTCCCACTTCCCCCCGACAGAGGCTCCCCTGCAGACGCTTCACATGGATGTGTGGGGCCCAGCCCCCGTCCGTGGGCAGGATTACGAGCGCTACTTCCTGTTGGTGGTTGACGACTACTCGCGTTACACCACAGTCCTCCCCTTGCGCAGCAAGGGTGCGGTCACTGAGGTGCTGATCGACTGGATCCGCGAGGCTCGTCTCCGGCTCAGGAAGAGCTTCGGCTCGGACTTTCCTGTTCTGCGTCTGCACTCGGACAGAGGCGGAGAGTTCTCCTCTGGCCTTCTGCGTGCCTACTGTCGTGCGCGAGGCATCCGCCAGTCCTTCACGCTTCCGGACTCACCACAGCAAAATGGGATTGCTGAGCGCCGCATTGGCATGGTCATGGATGTCGCTCGTACGTCCATGATGCATGCGGCTGCCCCCCATTTTCTGTGGCCGTTTGCGGTGAGGTACGCGGCGCATCAGCTCAACCTTCACCCCCGGGTCTCTCGGCCTGCGATGTCCCCAGCCTTGCTGTGGACAGGGAAGGTTGGCGATGCGTCTGTGTTCCGTGTCTGGGGATCTCGGGCGTTTGTCCGCGACTTGTCTGCGGACAAGCTGTCCCCTCGTGCTGCTCCCTGTGTCTTCCTTGGCTTCCCCACTGACGCCCCAGGGTGGCAGTTTTACCACCCCTCCTCTCGTCGTGTTCTGTCCTCCCAGGACGTCACGTTCGACGAGTCAGTCCCCTTCTACCGTCTCTTCCCCTACCGCACTCCTTCCCTCCCCCCTCCCCCGGACTTCCTTGTACCGGTTCCCCCCCCGGTAGACCCCCTCCCCCCTCAGGTTCCTGCCCCCTCAGGTGTGTCCCAGGTAGACGCCGTTGACCCGGTCGAGGTTACAGGTGACTCTGGTGCTGCTGCGGGTGCTGAGCCTGGGGGTGCTGACTCTGGGGGTGCTGTGCGCGGGGGTGCTGAGCCTGGGGGTGCTACTGCTGGGGGTACTGGGCCTGCAGGTGCTACTGCGGAGAGTGCGGAGCCTGGGGGTGCTGAGCAGGGGGGTGCTGTGCCTGGAGGTGATGGGTCTGGGGGTGCTGGGTCGGGAGCTGCTGAGCCTGGGGGTGCTGCGTCTGGAGCTGCTGAGCCTGGGGT